GAAATTGAAGGTTAAAACTTTAAAATCATCAATGATCAAAACTAGGCACTCACGTATTGGCCGTCACAAAGTACATGTCATCCCGGGGGCGAATGGTAATGCTGGGCATCGGCTGGAAGCCCTCCTCGCTGGCGGGCAGCGCCGGACTTCCGGTCCAAAAGTACACCAGGTCCTGCTTCTCCTCGTTGGTCATCCGCTCCAGCACCCACCAGAACCAGCGGCGAAAGTAGCTGAGGTGCTCGGCGCCGTCGCCCGATTCTAATGGAAAGAAAACAATTTAGAAAATTAGAGCTCTAAAAAAGTTTTCAAAAAGTCCCTCAAAATCACTTACCATCATGAAAGGTAACATAGCTCTGCAGCAGTGACACGTTAATCTCATTGACGCCATTGAGAAGGAGGCGAAAGTCTTCGGCCTAGAATTGACAAAAAAACCGAGAAAATTATCATCAAAATCACACTAAAAAAAGTAACACAACTCACCGTCAGCCCCTCAAAGCTCCTCGCCGGCAGCACATCAAAGACGCCCGCCTTCAGCGCCATAATGGCCGCCGCGGCGCTGTACAGCATCCGGTGCATCGCATACCGCTGCACGTAGTTCAGCACATTGGCGGGCGTCACTCGAAGGTGGCGCCCACCGGGCAGCAGCTCCACCTCGCCACCTCCCTCCTCCCGACTGAGGTCAATGGAGAAGCGAAAGTCGAGCTGGGCAAAGACCTCCTCCCGTCCGGGCGACTCGGCGTCCAAGATCAGCTGCCGCAGCGACTCGTAGAGGTCCGGGTCAAAGAAGGCCAGGTCGTGCCAACCGATCGGCCGGCCGAGAATGTACTTGATCACGTGGCGGTTGAGGGTGATGGGGCAGAGCTCATTCTGCACAAAGCAGATGCCAATGATGCGGCCCACGTTGCGAAAGGCGTTCAGGCGAGCTTCGGTTCCGCGACCAAGGCGCGGCGAGTAGAAGCCCCTCGGGCCGGGCTGGTAAAAGAGCGGCGCATTGTCCTCCGCGGGCAGCAGCGTGCNGTGCTGATCACCGGCGGAGGGGGAAGCGGTGGAAAGGCCGTCGAGGTCGAGGATGTTGAGGTTGCTGAAGGTGATGAGGTGGCTGCTGCTGCTGCTGAAGATGATGACAGAGGAAACAGCAGAACATGATTCTCCAGGTGGTGGTCAGGAAAGCTCACTGGCTGGGATGAGGATGATCCTGATCCTGATGATTCTCGCGGGTCTCTACCACCGCCGCTCACCACCAGGCCGTCAAAGTCGCTCAGGCGGAGCATCGAGGGGGCGGGGGCCACTGATGCTGGCGGCGGCGGCTGCGGCCCTGGCGGTGCCTGCTGAGACAGGCCCGCCGAGAGCAGGGCGTCAATGAAGCCGGCCTCAAACTCGGGCGGAGAAGAGGGCGTCGACGCTGAAGAGGACGCTGAAGGGTTTGCTCCCGCTGAAGAGGAAGAAGGTGGTGGAGTTCCTGAAGCTGCTGTTGATGATCGAGCTGTCGAACCTTCTGCGGCATTGATAATCTCCATGGCCGCCTCCACCTGGGCGCGAAACTCCTCCTCCGAGGTGATGATCGGCAGGAGGTCGTGCGAGGGCAGGTCGAGCAGCATGCCGGTGATCTTGCCGGCGGCCGAGGGCTGCAGCGGAAAGACGCGGCTGTAGATGCGAGAGCCTAAAAGTGAGGGGAAAGAAAGAAAGAAAGGGAAAAAGGTTAAAAAATCAAACAAAATTTCAAGCACAAAAAACTTACCTAGAGCATTCCTCGTTTCCGTCTCTCGAGACATGGGCGAAGAAGCGGCGGGTCGCAAAAGAGCAGCCGCCCCATTTGGCGCCGCCGCCGTGGGCACAAAGGCGGGCGAGTCGTAGCGCAGAACCGGTCCTCCATTACTTCCGGTCCCGCTGCTGCTGCGATGTCTTCCGCTTCCACTTCCCAGCGAGAGCATCATCGAGGAAGAGGAGGAGGAGGAAGCTGAGGGAATCGGCTGAATTATCGGCACATGCTGTACTGGCTGCTGTGAAGGGAGCACGACGGGGATGCCCATCGAGGCGGAGGAGCTGGACGAGGCTGGCGGCGACTGGCCTGCCGAGCTTCCGTAGGGCGAACTCCGCGAGCTGCGCCTAAAGTCCTCGAGGGCGCTGTTGCGCAGCTCATGTCGAATGCGCTCAATGTGCGAGCGGCGGCTGCTGCTCAGGCCTCCTGCGTAGCGAGGTCGGCTCGG